CTGGTAAAACCTGTTTCAACCCTTACCCCCCCCCCCCCCCAAAAAAAAAAAATGTACCATGATTCAGTGTGATTGTGTGTGCTTCAGTTACTCTATAGTAATATAACTTTAATTAAAGGTGGCTAGGTTAACCCCCCTTCCCTCCCCCCAATAAAACGTGCAGCACCGGACTATTTTTAAAGAATTGTTTTTTTCCCCTAGCTGGGAACTTTGTTGAGAACTCCCAGCAAGTGAAACATCTGCTAAATAAAAATTATCCTAGTGCTAGGCATATGTCTTAATTACAGCCACTCCACCAATAAAAAAAAAAGCTGAACACACTACCACATAACTTTAGAAAAAAAATCTCTCAGTATGTATGTCAATATTGCAAGAAATTTTTTTAATTCTTAACATTTGTGACTACAAATGCAACCTAACTGCCATATATTTTTTGGCATAATCCCACTATTGTTTAACTTTATAGATAACATTATACTTGTTTCATAGGTACATATAAAATAACTTACTCTTTGGTCATAGGTAAAAACACAAATAATACATCAGTATTTTACAAGGCGATGAAATCCAACAAGAACACTTGAAAATAATAAATATATAATAAAGTACTAACACTAAATAATGTACCAATGAATTATTCTGTAATTCACATAAAAGCTAAACCCTTATGAGCCAGGTATCACTATTCCAATTTGAAAAAAAGCAAAAAAAAAAAAAAAAAAAAAAAAAAAGAAAAGATAAGTTATATGTAGATATTATAATAAGCAAAGTGATTAACCCATGCACAGGCTACGGAACAAAATATACTTAAGTGTATTAGGGATGGATAACCATTCTGGTGGTGTCAATGATCGATAACTAACATTATTACCAATAACATGACAGCTGCTTCTGCCAGTGCCATGGGGAAACGAAAATGCACAAGCTTCTAAATACTGAAATGCATCTCTAATTACTAAAACGCAAGTCTTTAATTACTGAAACGCAAGTCAAACTTGTTTATTCAACAGCCAGAACAGATAAAGATGTTGGACCATATGAAAGTACTACAAAATTTAATTCTTGCCTCTTGTGAGCTTCTATTTTAGTGATGGCCTGCCTTGCTACATCTACTTGCTGACATTCTCAAAATTAAAACACTACAGCATTTAGTGCTTAATTTATAATCATAATAATAATAATATACTACAGTAGTGTGAAAATAAAGTTTAAACCACTGTAATAATACTACTACCTGATATACCAGCTTTCAACTGAATTAAATTTACACCATCGTATACTGTTGACGCTAAAGAATTTTATATAACAGACAAGAACAAGAAGTATAAACTCATTCAAAAGTATACTGTTAATATGTAAAGTATAAATAACAACCAATACCCAGCCCTATAATATTTTACTGATGCTTTAAATATATCTCATTACTGTAACCAAGTTACAGAAAAAAAACATGAAATATATCATAAACTGCAATATCCAAACACAAGTACCCGTTTAACTGTTGCAAGTTAAAATGTTGATATTGCAAGAACAATTACTAAACATGGTAAGATAGCAAAGTACAGTAGGAGGAGGCTGTTATCTGTCTTAAAACTGGTTACCATATGAAGTCTTTATCACATTAAACTTTTTTGTGGTTTGTGATGCTAACATTTTTGAGAGTCCGTCCACACAAGGAGTGGCAGAGGCTCGATCCTCCATCCACACAAGGAGTGGCGGAGGCACGATCCTCCGTCCACACAAGGAGTGGTGGAGGCTCGATCCTCCGTCCACACAAGGAATGGAGGAGGCTTGATCCTCCGTTAACACAAGGAGTGGCGGAGGCTCAATCCTCCATCCACACAAGTGCAGCCCAGTTTTGGAACAGTGAAGTTGTTGGTCATCTAGACTTTAAGAATTTGCTTGAAACTCATATTTACAAAGTAACACCAAAAGCCAAATATTGTTAAGTTGTACAAATTTTCAATACAAAATAATGTATGCAAGTCCTGTGCAACACAAAACTACAATGACAAAACTTGCATCAATCGTTCAGCAATACAACAGTACTCTATAAGAATAAGAAAATCACACTGCCAAACAAGGCAAGGCATGATCATTATTATCACATTATTCAACACGTGACCCGATTTCACAGGGCAATGGTACAGGATAATACATTTATTCGATACAATTATTCCATTGTCACACAGCTTAAGACTGTACTAAAAGTGTTGCAGAGCCCAAGGTGGTTAGTATGGTACGTTGTACCAGTAGAATTTACAATTTACTAACAAAAAGATTGGCAGTTGTTATAAAGACCCTGTCAATACATATATACATTATTTCATCCTAAGTTTTATTACTTACAATGCCTATTTTACATTTTATATACTGTGTCACCATTAGTGCATTCACAGGGAGAGCTGAACCCACAGGGGGTCATGCAGTGCCTCAGGAATGGGAGGTAATTGGGTACAGTGCCATATTACTTGGATCAAAAGCCCTGTCATCAGCAGTGAGGCACACCCCTCGAAGGGAAACCATTTTTGTAAACACGAGTTGAAGTGTGTGTCACTAACTTATTCTGTAAATGATTTCCACTGGTAAGTTTGTCTTGGGTGCTATTTTTCTTAACTAAAATTCCATTTAAAAACTGAGGTTATTTTATATATTTTTAAATAACATTATACTAGGCAACTCTTTTTTTTTTTTTAATTTTTTATTGCCATACAGCTATAATCAGTTCACAAAGGTTTGAAACTAAAAAAAAAAAAAATACAGAAGTGTAAAATAGTATCTCTTATTCATAACTGGTTCTGTATATTATTCAAATTCTTCATTTTGGTAATGTTGCATTAGCAATATATCAAACTGAAATATTTAAAAATCTAAATTGTAATTCTGAAAGTCTCCCCAATTTGGATTTTTCTAACAAAATGCTTTCTAAAATTTTGAACTATTTCAGAAATTAGGCATTATCTAAAAAATAGAGAAAAGTCAAATTCTTACTATTTAAAATCTTCTATATTTTGACTCCCCATCCCCCCCTCAGGTACAAATTATTGAGAATAAAAGATGCTACATTACTGAATGTGTGTCCTTTACACCAACACTATCACAGCACACGCCTCGTGCACAAACAACGGTTCTGCTAGTTGTCTCCTATGACATATTTCTAGCAATCATTTATTCTATGTTGTCACAGTATATCAGTCCCCTATGCCTAATATCACTGTTCTCTAATTCAGTACTGCACATTCAAATGTTCCTACACAAATTGTGTGTGTAGTGTAGTGCGTGCAGTGTAATATGTGTAGTGCAGTGTAGTTGTGTAGGACAGTGTACTGTATAGTGTAGTGTACTATGTAGTGTAGTGTGTAGTATATTATAGTGTGTAGTGCAGTGTGTAGTATATTATAGCATGTAGTATATTATAGCGTGTAGTATATTATAGTGTGTAGTGTATTATAGTGTGTAGTGCAGTGTGTATATATTATAGTGTGTAGTGCAGTGTGTAGATATTATAGCATGTAGTATATTATAGCGTGTAGTATATTATAGTGTGTAGTGTATTATAGTGTGTAGTGGTGTGTATATATTATAGTGTGTAGTGCAGTGTGTAGTGTATTATAGTGTGTAGTGCAGTGTGTAGTACATTATAGTGTGTAGTGCAGTGTGTAGTATATTATAGTGTGTAGTGCAGTGTGCAGTGCAGTGTGTAGTGAAGTGTGTCGTGCAGTGTAGTAGTATATTATAGCATGTAGTGCAGTGTGTAGTATATTATAGTGTGTAGTGCAGTGTGTGGTATATTATAGTGTGTAGTGCAGTGTGTAGTATATTATAGCATGTAGTGCAGTGTGCAGTGCAGTGTGTAGTGCAGTGTGTAGTGCAGTGTGTAGTGCAGTGTGTAGTGCAGTGTGTAGCAAGTAGTGTATTATTATTATAATCAAAAAGAGGCGCTAAGTCACAAGGGCTATACAGCACTGCAACAAGTAGTGTATAGCAGCGAGTAGTGTACAGCAGTGAGTAGTGTACTGCAGTGAGTAGTGTACTGCAGTGAGTAGTATAGTGCAGTGATTAGTGTAGTGTAGTGTAGTTCGTAGTGTAGTGCATAGTGTAGTGCGTAGTGTAGTGCGTAGTGTAGTGCGTAGTGTAGTGCGTAGTGTAGTGCGTAGTGTAGCGTGTAGTGAAGTGAGTAGTGTGCGAGTAGTGTAGTATATGCATGTTTTAAATTAGATAAACATTCAAAAATATTTAAAGATTCACATCTTAATTCGTTTAAAGATACCGACATTCACGAGTCTCTCACTGGGATTACTATTAGGAATGAAGAATAAATCAATTAAGACAATAAATACTTTGGATTTATTATTTCAATGAAGTGTCAGTAAACCAAGATGTCTTAAAGCTAAAATGTCTAAGTCAAATTTTGAGATAGTCTGCAGGAGTCTACCTCCCTCTTTGGTATCATCTGACCAAGGTGCCTGTGATAACATCCCTGCTGAGCACTGTGCTGCTGCTGCTGCTGCTGCTGCTGCTGCTGCACAAGCATACATGTACTGCCTAGCTAATATTAGCAAATACAGCTAGTACCAGTAATTACAGCTATTTGAATAAAAGTTCATATTTCTGTGCAACAACTTTAGTAGTAGTAGTAGTAGTAGTAGTAGTAGTAGTAGTAATAGTAATAGTAATAGTAGTAATAGTAGTAGTAGTAATAGTAGTAGTAGTAATAGTAGTAGTAATAATAGTAGTAGTAATAATAGTAGTAGTAATAATAGTAGTAGTAATAATAGTAGTAGTAATAATAGTAGTAGTAATAATAGTAGTAGTAATAATAGTAGTAGTAATAATAGTAGTAGTAATAATAGTAGTAGTAATAATAGTAGTAGTAATAATAGTAGTAGTAATAATAGTAGTAATAGTAGTAGTAATAGTAATAGTAGTAATAGTAATAGTAGTAATAGTAGTAGTAATAGTAATAGTAGTAGTAATAGTAGTAGTAATAGTAATAGTAGTAGTAATAGTAATAGTAGTAATAGTAATAGTAGTAGTAATAGTAATAGTAGTAGTAATAGTAATAGTAGTAATAGTAATAGTAGTAGTAATAGTAGTAATAGTAGTAATAGTAGTAATAATAGTAATAATAATAGTAATAATAATAATAATAATAATAATAATAATCATAATAATAATAATCATAATAATCATAATAATCATAATAATAATAATGCTAAACTCTGAAGGGTCACTTGAAATTCAAAAAAAAACTTAAAGTAGCATCTACTTTCTTTGCCCCATTACCCTAATAATCGCAAAGTAAAAACAAAAAATAATAATAAGACTAACATACAAAACAAGTACACGTACTAGACATGTCTGCTTTCAAATTGAAAACTCTGTTACTGTCAGATTTAAATCCTCCTTGTGACCTTTGCTTTTTCTGTGGAGGCAGTCAATAATATGTTAATCATTATGTCTTTAGTAATATACAGTGGACCCCCGGTTAACGATATTTTTTCATTCCAGAAGTATGTTCAGGTGCCAGTACTGACCGAATTTGTTCCCATAAAGAATATTGTGAAGTAGATTAGTCCATTTCAGACCCCCAAACATACACGTACAAACGCACTTACATAAATACACTTACATAATTGGTCACATTCGGAGGTAATCGTTATGCGGGGGTCCACTGTATTTATGTAAGTGCGTTTGTACGTGTATGTTTGGGGGTCTGAAATGGACTAATCTACTTCACAATATTTCTTATGGGAACAAATTCGGTCAGTACTGGCACCTGAACATACTTCTGGAGTGAAGAAATATCGTTAACCGGGGGTCCGCTGTACACTTACATAATTGGTCGCATTGGGAGGTGATCGTTAAGCGGGGGTCCACTGTACTCAAAACTGCTAACTTATTATACTTCTAGTTCTCTTGTATTACTATGCAACTAAAATAGTGTTCTGACAATATCAATATTCATAAATTAATTTGATCAGCATGAGTAAATCACACGAAGATGAACACCACACAAAGGAGTCTTTATTGTAGAAAACATTTGTTTACATGTTTTTCAGGGCTCAACAAGGCCTGGTTCATGACCAGGCCTTGATTACATTTGTAGGAAAACACCTACAATAATAGCTTGTCCTTGTGTGATGCTTGTCATTACATCTTCATCAACAGTACTTTCCAAGTGTCCATAACTAAATTGAATATGGTAGACCAACCTGGCAACTGGTCATTCGGTGGTCTGATTTGGTCTGGCAAGTAAACAGAATGCAAAAGTGCGTAAAACAAAGGGGCCATACAAAAGGATGTCATCATTCAGTGTTCTTGAAACTAAAATGTGTTTCAGCCTCCTCCCAGAGAGGCTGGATAATCAATGATCTACCATATTGTGTAGCCTAAGTTGTCATAACACTAGGGACACAGTCAACACAAGAGTGTTCTTCAGACTGCTAGCAACATAAGGGAAGCCATTTTTATCAATGGCATAATGCCACTTATTAAAAGAGTATTTATAAAATAAGGAGATTCCTTGACAAGTCATTCTACCAATAGTTTTATATAAAAAAATTGTTCAGTCTTGTTCTATAATTTAACAAAATACAGTACCTAAGTTACAGAATAGAGTACCAAAGTTACTGAAGCTTTAACATATCTATATAGAAAGGAGTTGTTTTTCTTAATTTGCTGAAAAATCATAATAGGCATATGCTGTGTAAATATTCTTCACCTAGGAAGCTTCCAATTATAGCCACAAAGAGTGCTAAACTCTCAGGGGTCACTTGGCACTGCTCTGGGAAATAAAATGCCTGATAAAGCCACCTAATAACTCCTGGTATCTACAACATAAACCTTTGTCAACCTTTGTCTTAACATTCAGTATGCCTGCCTCCTAATACTGTACATTCAAAAACTTAACTCAAGATTCTAGGAGACATCTCAAAAGTTGTTTTTAAGATAACACAGATAATGCTTTCACAAATAAGCTCATCTATTAACACTATTTAAACCTTAATGCTTGGCTGTCAGTGCTCTAAGCATCTTAAGTGTACTGTCAGCCAAGCCAGTCTCTCCAAGCAGTAGAAGTGCTCACCATTTTTTTTTCAATATTTCTTGGGTGCATTTGCAATGAAAATAATGCCATCTGTTTGAACCTAGGTAATAATGCAACAATACAAGAAGTGCCAATGATGACGTAGTTTGGAGAATTATGCCCAGATTGTACTTCATATATTAATTCCTTTCATGTCTCATTTTCAAGCATTCACATAAATACATACAGCCATATTCACCCTTTTAGTTCAAATCAACTTCACTTTATGATGCATAAACAAAATAAAGCAGAAATGGTATAGATGAGGCCAATTTCAAAAACAATCAAAGATGTGCTATATACAGTTACACAGTACTGTTTACACACACGAATGACATAAGCAAATAAACACACACACACACATACACACACTCGCATACATACATGCATACATTATATAAACACTCTAAGATGCACACAAAGTTCATGCAAAGAATTTAGGTAGAGAAAATGCAAGCTGCAAAATACTGACAAGCTGGAAGAGTGATAAATGACCAAGTTCAATCTGAGGGTCAATAAAGAACAAAAAAGACACAATACTGTGACTGGAACAATACAGAGGTAAAAGTAATGTTGTTAGTAGGAGAAATGCAACCTGGAGTAATGCATCACCTGAGTGGGAGAAAACTGGCCCCCCTCCCACCCCCCCCCCCAAAAAAAAAAAATGCATGATCCAAGTGGGTTTAACACTTAGGTATGACTGTAATAATAATTGGACCCTAGTGGGTTTAGCACTTTGGTATGACTGTAATAATAATTAGATCCTGGTGAGTTTAGCACTTAGGTATGACTAATAACAATTGTCAAAGAAAAATAAGAAAGACCTTAGTGTTGACATAACACAAGAGGCTACCAGCAAAGGTCCACACACAGGGTAACTTTAGTGGAGTGTTTAATATCAACAAAGACTTCAGGAACTTCAACAAGGACTTTTTAAACAAAATACAGTACCAGTGTGAGTGACCGTCATGTGTTGTACACAAACACTGCAGTTCCTTCAGATACTGATGACTTAGTGAGGGAAAAATGTTATAATCTATAGAGTTTAATACCTTTATCAACACATTACAGAGACCAAGAAATATATTTGGAACTATTGACCATAGAAATGCCAGTCAAAAATTGGTCATTAATGAAACTCTGTACTCAGTTATTTTACTAAAACTGAATACAAGGCCAAACTGTGCAAGGAAAAAAAATAATCTGTGAATAGAAACTTTTGTGGAAATCTGAACTTCAGTAACACTCAGAAAACATGTGACACTCTGGGATCACACAAGGTGACAATTTGTGGCTGCAGGAACCCTGCTCCTATAGCTGCAAATCCCACCTTTGACACAAACTCCCTCTCTGACTTTTTGACAGCAACAGATTTACTATACAAACTTCGATTATACTTCCTTCAGCACTTCACATCACCCTTATAACTCTACCTCTGTTATACTCTTTACCTTCACTAGTCTCTGATCAAGCATATTAAACCTTTGGTATGCTGTATGACTCTTGTGGGCTTAGCACTTTGTTATGATTATAATAATATAGCTGCAAATAGGAAATGTCAAACACACAGCATGACAATCATCAACCATCAGGATCCTGAGTGTCACTAGCTCAAACCTTGCTACAATCTTTTATACCAAACATTATAGAAATAAAACCAATTTTATTCATAGCAATAAGAAATTGTCAAATAATATTAACAGTGATAAGGGAAAGAAAAAACTAATTAATTGACTGGCAGAAGGTACTGATGATTTCATACCAAATGAACATGTAGTAGATTAGAGAAGACCCAGTAAGAAAGAAGTGATAAAAAAAAAAAACCCACTGGTGAATGTCAATGTATAGATTGCTCAAAATGGCACATTATATATAAGAGCAGGAAGGATGTGAAATTATCTTTCAGAAAAAAGATGTCCAAAGATGATTGAATTAGAAAATATTTTGAGTTAAATGAATAATAAATGAATGCGAGTAAACTGCACACTTTGAACAAATTCAAGAGTAAATACGAAAATGAAATCGCGTCGGTCAACTGAAAGTAAAGAGGTGGTCCTAGGAGATGAAGCTCAATTCCAACACATGCACACACACACACACTCGCTAGCTTCCATGTACTTGTCCCACTTTTGTATACTCACCCCACTGCCATGCACTCAACACATGCTTCTTACACCATTAAAATATCAGAGGAATATACTACATTCTACGGAGCACACAATGTGGGACAGACTTCATTGCAAGAAGTTTACACTATTTTGGTTAAATATGAAAGTAGACCAAACTATCCACAAATATTAAAAAATATAAAACCTTGGTGTGACTGGTAGTGATGTTGTCTATATCTGAGTCCTGGCTTGCACACAGTCATATAAAATTATCCCACAAGAAACACAATTCTATATACTGTACAAAAAAAGGGTCACAGAAGATTTTTTTTTTCCCTGCTTCTACTGTATTGTACTTCCTCATCTAGTCCTGGAAAAAAGGAAAAAGTTTGTATATACAGTACATACATAAAAGACCATGCAGGCATGCATATTCACAACCATACATGCTTGTGCATACATTCTTGCACGCACACACACACACGTACACACACATACACACACAGAGCAAGATCTTGTGTGTACACATACAGAAAACTGCAAAGCAGTGTATCAATTAATCAATATACATACAGTATTAATATGATGATATAGTATTGGATAAAACTTTTCCCCCAACATGTATACCATCATCTCAAATAAATAAGTGCAAAAATAAATACTCAATAACCAGAGGGAAGGCCATAATGTATTAACTGTAAAAGCATTAGTTTGAATACAGAATCTTATACCCATGTATGGTATTGTTCAAATGCCTGACAATAAATAAAATAAATAAATAAAAAGATGGGATACCTAGGTAGTAAGCTGGTAGACAGCAACCGCCCAGGGAGGTACTACCGTCCTGTCAAGTGAGCGTAAAACGGAAACCTGTAATTGTTTTACATGATGGTAGGATTGCTGGTGTCTTTTTTCTGCCTCATAAACATGCAAGATTTCAGGTACGTCTTGCTACTTCTTCTTACACTTAGGTCACACTACACATACATGTACAAGCATATATATACAGACACCCCTCTGGGTTTTCTGCTATTTTCTTTATAGTTCTTGTTCTTGTTTATTTCCTCTTATCTCCATGGGGAAGTGGAACAGAATTCTTCCTCCGTAAGCCATGTGTGTTGTAAGAGGCGACTAAAATGCCAGGAGCAAGGGCCTAGTAACCCCTTCTCCTGTATGTATTACTAAATGTAAAAGGAGAAACTTTCGTTTTTCCTTTTGGGCCACCCCGCCTCAGTGGGATACGGCCGATGTGTTGAAAGAAAGAAAGATGGGATAAGAGGAAAATGGCAACAAGAAGTAAGAGGGAGGTGAAAGTGTATAAACTAAGGGAGGAGGAAGTTCGGGTGAAATATAACCAACTATTGGCAGAAAGGTGGGCTGGTGCAAGTATGAGTAGTGGAGGGGTTGAAGAGGGTTGGAATAGTTTTAAAAATGCAGTATTAGAATGTGGGGCAGAAGTTTGTGGTTATAGGAGGGTGGGGGCAGGAGGAAAGAGGAGTGATTGGTGGAATGATGAAGTAAAGGGCGAGATAAAAGAGAAAAAGGTAGCTTATGAGAGGTATTTACAAAGCAGAAGTGTTATAAGAAGAATAGAGTATATGGAGAGTAAAAGAAAGGTGAAGAGAGTGGTGAGAGAGTGCAAAAGGAGAGCAGATGATATAGTGGGAGAGGCATTGTCAAGAAATTTTGATGAAAATAAGAAAAAATTTTGGAGTGAGATAAAGAAGCCTAGGGAACGAATGGATTTCTCAGTTAAAAACAGAGTAGGGGAGTTAGTTGATGGGGAGATGTAAGTATTGGGTAGATGGCAAGAATATTTTGAGGAACTTTTAAATGTTGACAAAGAAAGGGAGGCGGTAATTTCATGCACTGGCCAGGGAGGTATACCATCTTTTAGGAGTGAAGAAGAGCAGGATGTGAGTGTGGGGAAGGTGCATGAGGCATTATGTAGAATGAAAGGGGGTAAAGCAGCTGGAACTGATGGGATCATGACAGAAATGTTAAAAGCAGGGGGGGATATAGTGTTGGAGTGGTTGGTATTTTTGTTTAATAAATGTATGAAAGAGGGGAAGGTACCTAGGGATTGGCAGAGAGCATGTATAGTCCCTTTATATAAAGGGAAGGGGGACAAGAGAGACTGTAAAAATTATAGAGGAATAAGTTTGCCGAGTCCTAGGCAGTAGGTTGGTAGACAGCAACCGCCCAGGGATGTACTACCGTCCTGCCAAGCGAGTGAAAAACGGAAGCCTGTAATTGTTTTACATGATGGTAGGATTGTTGGTGACCTTTTTTCTGTCTCATAAACATGCAAGATTTCAGGTACGTTTTGCTACTTCTACTTACACTTAGGTCACACTACACATACATGTACAAGCATATATATACTTACATACCCCTCTGGGTTTTCTTCTATTTTCTTTCTAGTTCTTGTTCTTGTTTATTTCCTCTTATCTCCATGGGGAAGTGGAACAGAATTCTTCCTCCGTAAGCCAAGCGTGTTGTAAGAGGCGACTAAAATGCCGGGAGCAAGGGGCTAGTAACCCCTTCTCCTGTATATATTACTAAATGTAAAAGGAGAAACTTTCGTTTTTCCTTTTGGGCCACCCCACCTCGGTGGGACATGGCCGGTGTTTTGAAAGAAAGAAGTTTACTGAGTAATATTTAGGTAATATTTAGGGTAATATTTAGTGAAGGTATGATGTAGCACGTAATGAAAGTAGTTTATTAGATTATGTATTGGTGGATAAAAGGTTGATGGGTAGGCTCCAGGATGTACATGTTTATAGAGGGGCAACTGATATATCGGATCATTATTTAGTTGTAGCTACAGTTAGAGTAAGAGGTAGATGGGAAAAGAGGAAGGTGGCAACAACAAGTAAGAGGGAGGTGAAAGTGTATAAACTAAGGGAGGAGGAAGTTCGGGTGAGATATAAGCGACTATTGGCAGAAAGGTGGGCTAGTGCAAAGATGAGTAGTGGGGGGGTTGAAGAGGGTTGGAATAGTTTTAAAAATGCAGTATTAGAATGTGGGGCAGAAGTTTGTGGTTATAGGAGGGTGGGGGCAGGAGGAAAGAGGAGTGATTGGTGGAATGATGAAGTAAAGGGTGTGATAAAAGAGAAAAAGGTAGCTTATGAGAGGTTTTTACAAAGCAGAAGTGTTATAAGAAGAGCAGAGTATATGGAGAGTAAAAGAAAGGTAAAGAGAGTGGTGAGAGAGTGCAAAAGGAGAGCAGATGATAGAGTGGGAGAGGCACTGTCAAGAAATTTTAATGAAAATAAGAAAAAATTTTGGAGTGAGTTAAACAAGTTAAGAAAGCCTAGGGAAAATATGGATTTGTCAGTTAAATACAGAGTAGGGGAGTTAGTAGATGGGGAGATGGAGGTATTGGGTAGATGGCGAGAATATTTTGAGGAACTTTTAAATGTTAAGGAAGAAACAGAGGCAGTAATTTCATGCACTGGTCAGGGAGGTATACCATCTTTTAGGAGTGAAGAAGAGCAGAATGTAAGTGTGGGGGAGGTACGTGAGGCATTACGTAAAATGAAAGGGGGTAAAGCAGCTGGAACTGATGGGATCATGACAGAAATGTTAAAAGCAGGGGGGGATATAGTGTTGGAGTGGTTGGTACTTTTGTTTAATAAATGTATGAAAGAGGGGAAGGTACCTAGGGATTGGCAGAGAGCATGTATAGTCCCTTTATATAAAGGGAAAGGGGACAAAAGAGACTGTAAAAATTATAGAGGAATAAGCTTACTGAGTATACCAGGAAAAGTGTACGGTAGGGTTATAATTGAAAGAATTAGAGGTAAGACAGAATGTAGGATTGCGGATGAGCAAGGAGGTTTTAGAGTGGGTAGGGGATGTGTAGATCAGGTGTTTACATTGAAGCATATATGTGAACAGTATTTAGATAAAGATAGGGAAGTTTTTATTGCATTTATGGATTTAGAAAAGGCATATGATAGAGTGGATAGAGGAGCAATGTGGCAGATGTTGCAAGTATATGGAATAGGTGGTAAGTTATTAAATGCTGTAAAGAGTTTTTATGAGGATAGTGAGGCTCAGGTTAGGGTGTGTAGAAGAGAGGGAGACTACTTCCCGGTAAAAGTAGGTCTTAGACAGGGATGTGTAATGTCACCATGGTTGTTTAATATATTTATAGATGGGGTTGTAAAGGAAGTAAATGCTAGGGTGTTTGGGAGAGGGGTGGGATTAAATTATGGGGAATCAAATTCAAAATGGGAATTGACACAGTTACTTTTTGCTGATGATACTGTGCTTATGGGAGATTCTAAAGAAAAATTGCAAAGGTTAGTGGATGAGTTTGGGAATGTGTGTAAAGGTAGAAAGTTGAAAGTGAACATAGAAAAGAGTAAGGTGATGAGGGTGTCAAATGATTTGGATAAAGAAAAATTGGATATCAAATTGGGGAGGAGGAGTATGGAAGAAGTGAATGTTTTCAGATACTTGGGAGTTGACGTGTCGGCGGATGGATTTATGAAGGATGAGGTTAATCATAGAATTGATGAGGGAAAAAAGGTGAGTGGTGCACTGAGGTATATGTGGAGTCAAAAAACGTTATCTATGGAGGCAAAGAAGGGTATGTATGAAAGTATAGTAGTATCAACACTCTTATATGGGTGTGAAGCTTGGGTGGTAAATGCAGCAGCGAGGAGACGGTTGGAGGCAGTGGAGATGTCCTGTTTAAGGGCAATGTGTGGTGTAAATATTATGCAGAAAATTCGGAGTGTGGAAATTAGGAGAAGGTGTGGAGTTAATAAAAGTATTAGTCAGAGGGCAGAGGAGGGGTTGTTGAGGTGGTTTGGTCATTTAGAGAGAATGGATCAAAGTAGAATGACATGGAAAGCATATAAATCTATAGGGGAAGGAAGGCGGGGTAGGGGTCGTCCTCGAAAGGGTTGGAGAGAGGGGGTAAAGGAGGTTTTGTGGGTAAGGGGCTTGGACTTCCAGCAAGCGTGCGTGAGCGTGTTAGATAGAGTGAATGGAGACGAATGGTACTTGGGACCTGACGATCTGTTGGAGTGTGAGCAGGGTAATATTTAGTGAAGGGATTCAGGGAAACCGGTTATTTTCATATAGTCGGACTTGAGTCCTGGAAATGGGAAGTACAATGCCTGCACTTTAAAGGAGGGGTTTGGGATATTGGCAGTTTGGAGGGATATGTTGTGTATCTTTATATGTGTATGCTTCTAGACTGTTGTATTCTGAGCACCTCTGCAAAAACAGTGATAATGTGCGAGTGTGGTGAAAGTGTTGAATGATGATGAAAGTATTTTCTTTTTGGGGATTTTCTTTCTTTTTGGGTCACCCTGCCTTGGTGGGAAACGGCCAACTTGTTGAAGAAAAAAA